CTGTCAGTGTAAACATGGCATGTCTGTGATTTTGTGCAGGGAATAGCAGGAATCTGTGTCTTTGGAGGAGACGAGTGCTATATAAAACTTCAAATCAAAGCAAACCTTCCACACTTGGAGGCTCAAAGGAAAGAGTCACGAATGTTTGACCTGGTACGTACACACGACTCGATACAAAACACTGCAAATTGGAGGGAAAAATAATGAGCCACGATAAAAAAGGAGAGCAGAAATCGAGGCTGCTGTTAAGTTGTTACAGACCGTTATTTTCCATTTCACTAATTCAAGGATGTTATCATGTTTTTTTTCCTCCTGTCCAGATGGATGAGTCCATGCCACTGAGGTTTGATGAAGGTTTTCTACGATGGGTCGCTGGGGAGCAGTCGTTAAAGGACACCAGTTTTCTGAGCAATAAAGTACTGGGTTTATGTGGGGAACTTCCCATTTACTGGCTCCATCCTACTTTTACAAAGGGTTTCCTTTCTCTCTTCATTCTGTGTCTTAAACAAACCGCCTTCCCAGAAAAGTTGGTACACTTTGTTAAAAAACATTAGAAACCCATTATTCCTTCATCTTCTAATTCACTACCCTGGAACATTCCACTGGGCCACATGCAAAGACAAATGACCATTCACGCTAACGGTCGTAGCTATGGTCAGTTCAGAGTATCCAGCTGACATTGTACTAACGGTTTTACAAAGACACGACAGGAAATTGAGTCCAACTCCAAAAATACAAAAACAACGCACACACGGAGAACATTAAGAGTCCAGAAATTAAGAGCTAGAATGAAACTGCCACCCTGTTGCTACAAGACAAGCTTGCTAATCACTTCGTCCACTGAACGACTGGTGTTAAAAAAGAAAAATTTGCTGTTCACTAACCCTCTGTTTAACAGGCAGCTAGATGGAGGAAAACATTTCTTCTTTTCACATACAATAGTCGCCACAGAGGCAATGTGACTGATACGGGAAAAAAAATCTGTGATGAGGGTGGAAACCACTGCTGAATGTGCATGGTTTCTCACCTAACACAACAAATTACACATGAAGAGGTTTTAATTTTGTTTCCTGGAAGTGCGCCATCTTTTCTGTAAATACCGTTTGTATTTTATGTCCAATAGATCCACAACATTTTTTTTAGCTGTTAGTTATATTTTTGATCATTTTCGGTCTCCATTCTTCCCTGCCTCAGCTTCCTCTCAGACGTTGGCTATGGCAACGCTTCTGAACAGGCGCCGCGTTTGCAGCAACGCACAAAGGCTTTGGCTTTGGCTGGGTATGAAAAAGGAATGATCTTGAAATATGCAAGGCGGCCTATTATTACTGCTGTTAATTCAATTATTCAGAGACAACGCCATCCACTGTATGTAGGGTTGAGCTCCCAGGACATGTGTGTCGTCTTGTGAATGCTGACCCAGTACTCTTGCCTCCTGTGGCTGCTGGAACAGATGGGGAAAGGAGAAAGCGAGACTCAGAGCGAGCCGAGCAGCAGTTCGCCACGGAGGAGTTTGATACGACTGTGAAGAAAAGAGAGCTGGTGAGTCACACACAGGATGACGGCTCCAGAGGTGATGAAGAGGAGGGAGGCGGGGGGGAGTCGACCGCAGGGTCTGCTTACAATCCCGAAAAATCCTTATCGTGCGAGTATGAAGTTTGTCAACAAGGATTTTTAACGGACGACAGGAAACTAAAGAGGCTCACCGACCCTAAAGGAGCTTTTTTTTAAATGTATTTTTTAATTATTCGAACCTTATAAAGGGCAGGTCACAGACTCTGAAGAAAAGTGTTAACCTGCATTTTTATTTTTAACCAGCTGTGGGTGGTCGGGCCTGCTGTTCCTGGGACGTGTCATATCATTATGAGTCACTAGTTCAATAGCTGCCTTTTCAAAATCAATAAGCACATTAAGAGAAGTGAATAATTCCCAGTAGCTATAAAAATTCATGTTGCCAAGAGAAGCGGGATCACGTGTTCTACAAAGTAGAACTTTTTGTAAACATTTAAATTGCAAATATGTCTTAGTGTGAGATGAAAAAAAAACTCATCTTTATATTTAATATTTTCTTTAAAACTGCAGTGCAGTGGAGCAGCCAGAGAGGAAGGAGCCATGACCTTTGACCCAATGCTAGACCACAAGGGGATGTGCTACTCCGCTTGCCAGTGCGGCTACGCTCACTTTCAAACAATATGCGATGGAGACCGGTCTTGGCCTTCCGACCCCACGGGATGTGCAGTTAGCTGCAGTGTCATTATAGCCGGTCGCTGGTGGGTGGCACGGATTCCTGGTTGTTTACACTCACAGGCCACTTTATTAGGAACATTTTGCTATTACGATGTGACGCCCCCTTCTGCCTTCAGAAATACCAACATGATCTATGGCATGAATTCAACCAGATGCTGGAAACATTAGTTTTTGGTCCTTATTCACTGCGTAGTTTATGCAGTTGCTGCAGATTTATTGGCCACAAATTAAAAGTTGCAAATCACGCGCCATAACATCCTAAAGTGTTTTTTTCCAAGTGGGACCAGGCGTATACTTCGTAGGTGATTTAATAGTACAGTTAAATTACTCCCAGTCCACTGTAGAAGAGTAGTTAGTGCTGCTGCCTTACAGCAGGAAGATCTCCGTACCAGTACGGACCCTAAATGTGTGCAGGGGTTTTATTTGGCGTTCTCCCTCAGTCCAAATTAGGTTAAATGGACACTTTCAGTTTACCGTGGGTTAGAGAAGCTTTTACAGCACTGACTCCTGCTGTACACTAAACAAAGTGTCTCAACAAATTGAGACACTGTGAAGCGACGTTAGCGTCTTCAGTGCTAAGGTTCGTCTTCAGGTGTTTCGTGAAATTGCTCTTATCATAACAGAACGAAACCCTACAGTAAGTGCAGCTCCCGCCTTTGTTCCTCGTTAACGTTCATCCAACATTGTTAAAATAAACTACCCATGAGGAGAACGACACAATGGACTACAGCAGGACAACACACCACCACTAGCTGACCAGTACACAACCACTCTTTTTTCTTTGTCACAATTTGGGAATTTGGGCGCGGCCTGAATTTAATTTTTTTTGGGCCAGATTCAGCCCACGGGCCACCAGTTGATGATCTTTAGTCTACAGTCTTTCTGCATACTTTTGACAGTTGTTTCAGTTTGTTAGTGACTTATTCGAATCAGTTGATAATCATTGCTGTAGTGTATTTTGAACGAATTATCAATACTGGTACTTGTGTCGGTTCTGCCCTAGATTCATGTTTTCCACGTTGAAGTCTGACTCTACCATCTGAACAGAACAGAAAACGAGACTCATCCGACCAGGTTACATTTTTCCAATCTTCTATTGTCCAAAATTGTTGAGCCTGTGAAAATTGTATCCCCTGTCCCAATCATCAACTTGACTCAGTCTGACCTTTTCTTCTGACCCCTGGCATCAACAACATTTTTCACCTTTCTCTCTCTTTTTTTTTATTGGATGCTTCTCTGTAAATGGTAGAGATGTTTTTTCTTTGGTAGAAAATCCCAGTAGATCGGCAGCCTTTAAAAACCTTCGACATGTTCACCCACATTCTGATGCTCTGTCTGAACTCCAGGGGGTCGCCTTGAGTACATCTATGTGTCTAAATGCACTGGGCTGCAGCCACGTTGGTGGCTGACTCCATGTTTTCATCAACATGTAACTGAACCCAATGAAGGGACCGGTGAGTGGATTTTGTGATTCTGACTCTCAACATGAACGGAATAAAATATTTAACGTAATTATTTTTTTAGGCTACTGCTGTCTGTGACAGACCACACACACCATTTACATTGCAGCCATAGGCTGGTCTTTTTTTCAACTACACTGCAACAGAAAAAACTGGCCTGTATAAAAGGCAGATTCCCATTCGCTGCAACAGACTCACAAATGAGCACATTCATTTTTGCATCTTGTAATACGCAGGCTTAATGCACTGCACTGTGCTTAATGGAGGGTATGGGACTAAATCCAAGTGCTCGGCAGATCATGTACCTTTTCTGACTGAATAGGCTTCAATAAATTCTAATTACAGTATATGCTGGCTTTGATGTAGCCGTTTCTTGGTGCTCAAGAGTGTGCGCGTGAGTTAGCTTAGGTTTTACTAATGTTACAGGGACCTTACTTTTTTCTTTTTTTTTAAGAGAATAAAGCAAAGTAGAAATCATTAAATATTAAATCACAACATCATGTTTAAGGTAATTCTAGTTCAAAGGTTTGGCAGCGGCTGTTTGATGCTTAGCATAGAATAAATCTGGAGAAAATGTATGTCAGATCTAATGTCATTTGAAGACAGGCAGGCTCTCTCTCTCTCTCTCTCTCTCTCTCTCTCTCTCTGTGTGTGTGTGTGTGTGTGTGTGTGTCACATGTGGTTTCCATGGTTCCACAGGCTGCTTTTTTCTGATAAAGCCAAAGTGACAGCAATCATTGCCATAACTTACATTCACAGCTCAGTTTGAGGGCAATGCAATTTGTGCACACTGGCATCTGCATTGATGTGATGTAATGTGAGATGAGTGTCACGGCAACGATGGAAACTATTTCCACAAAAGTGACATTTTTATTAAATAAATAAATCAAATTTTGTCTATTAAAGGGAGGAATAGCGTTGATGCAACCACATAACACGATCACGAAACCAAGCTTCTTTTTTTTTTTTTCGCACAGCTGTTATTGGGACTTGTAGCATAGCCACTCTGAGAGCCTCAAAATCAAAAGAAATCAGATTACTATCTCTAAAGCCATATGCCAACTTATTAAATAATTGAAAGGACCCATGTTGCGATCAAGACGATTTCACAGCGGGTGATCCAGGCACATCAAATTTTAACAGATGTGAAATTGCACCATATCTGCCACTAAAATCTCATTGAAACTATTAAGCAGTGAGAGGAAAGAACACAAAGAGATGCTTGTCTCCCTGCTCGGAGATCTTTCCTGGGTTTTCATGTGGATAGGTGCTTATCACATCTGCGGCGCCGATAAGACGGCCTCTCCGCTTCCGTAGGCTATATAATATTAATCCCTCTCCCACGTCCGCCGCTGCACTTAAAGGAAGGTGACAGGCATGACATATCCAGGACCTCCCGATGGCTCCTGCTCTGGAGTGCAGCCACTAAAAGAGCCCCAAGTACCCTCAAGTGATGTAAATTTGCAGGGGGAGTCCAATTTCCATCACAGCACTGTCATTGCCATGGTCATTAAACTAAATCATCCCGCTGCGTGTCACACAGCTCCCGTTTTAAAAGTCCCCTCAATAATGGAGTTATACTTGGACTGCAGATTGGAGCATAACAGTGGATGACCTCACAGCAGCCATGCGGGTCGCCCACACATCATTTCACATATATAGTAAATATGAGGCTGAGACATATCTGAAGATTATCAATTAACGGAGACCTGTTTTGGTGCCTGGAATCCACCGACTGTAGTTCAACAGGTCGGATTCTAAAATTAGAAACTGCCGCTGAAATTTCAACATAATGTGACGTGAACCGCCGCTGCCACAGGCGGTTTAATGGCCTTACTTACAAACTCCATTTCCACAGAGGTTGATAGAACTTTCTAAAAAAAAAAAAATCAATAAAAACTAAAGTCCGTACAGGGCACATTTATGCTTTTTTCTATTATTATTATCAGAAACAAGAAAGTACTTATTTTATGAACAAAGTTCCTTAAATTTCCTATTTTTGATTCCAGCAAAGCTTGAAAAATACAGGTTTATCACTTGGGCACATCCACAACTTTTAAACACGCTTTTGAATCTTACGGAAAACGAGGATGTATACACACACAGATATATATATATATACATATATACATATACATACATATTTATAGATATATGTGTATGAACAGTATATATGTAGAGTATTTTTATAATTTATATATTGTATTTTTCTGTTATTTCTGTCTCATTTCCTTCATTCGTTTGAAACCTTGATCTTAAACCTTGAATATTCCACAGAATTCTATTAAAAACAGCTGTGTTTAGACTATGGCTGTCAATCTATGAACATATGTGGTTCCATCTGTTTTATTATCAAAATGATCGCATTGTTAATGTGAGAAAAAAGTCCAAAAGTATAACTCCAAATTCAGCTTCACAGTGTTGATGGATTCGAGTCATTTCCGTGTGTGACAGTGACTGGTATAACACATCAGAGCTTCTTTTAACCCTCAGTGACGCTGTTGTCCTCAACAATATTGATCACTCTTGAGTCTCTCGCGATCCGTCTGACAATTACGTCAGTCAGCTTGTCAGTTTCGGACACAGTCACTGCCGTGCTGTCAGCGAGGCTGGTCTAATACGAGCCCGCAGTCTGACCTGAAGACGAATCCTCCACCAACACATTCACGGAGTTGAGATGGTATTTTAAGCTTGAGGTGCTCTGGTGAAATTAAAACTCTTTCCTGCAGCGTGTATCGACGGTGGGATTATTTGAAAAAGCATTCAAATAATTTTGTTTTTGAATACGATTAATTTGACGGATCAATGATAAAGTTATCATCGCACTAATTTTGACAGACCCAGTTTATAGTTAGACAAAGGATTGAAACATAGTTGCACTTCAACAATAGAACCCAATTAAAAGTTTACACTCATGTACATACCTTTTCAGGGTTTCATCACCAAATCCAGCTTCTCCATCAGGTCAGTGCAGGACTTCATCCTCCATAGGTTCTATAAAAAAGATTTAACAACATTAAAAAATAACAAAAACATTACAATTGTTGAAAAAACACGAGTAAATCTATTTTTTTTCTACTACTCAAAAACTACACACTGTTAATTGTCTACCTGTTATGGTGGTGACACGTTCAGCCAGGAAGGTCATAGTATGTGTCCATGGTATGGTCCTGGCTGGAGCTGCATGAGGAAAAGATTCAAAGGCCAGTCAAACCCAGGATTTGAACCGGTGCTCTCAAAGGTCACACACATTTAATGCAGTTTCCACAGATTTAGCAGCATTAGCTACACATAATGTTAGGCTTTGATTACTCACAGTACTGTTCCAAAAATGCTGAGGCTATAAATTGGACTTAAATAAATATGCAGGAACCATATTTGCACAGCTACACGTGTCAACAGATCTTTCTTGTGTTTATAACCGAGGTACACCTTGTTAATTGATAAACAAATAGAATTGTGGGTAATGGCACTGAGTCATTTTCATGTCCAAGGCTTCTTTAGTTTTAGTTGGTGTAACAATGCTTCTGAAAAGGTGGTGTGTAGAACGTGTTGATGCAACAGCACAGCGAACGGAGAGCAGGAAGCCCATGTCAGACAGAGGCGAGGAAGAAACAAAGAGCAGAAGGGAAAATAAAAAAATAAAATAAAAAAACACACTCACACAAAGACACTCGCACAAGCAACAACTCAAAATGGCATTTTAACTGAGTAAAAACATACATAGCTCACAACAACAGCAGTGCTGTTATCCCAAGGCTATGTTAAGGGGGAAAAAAATGTTTTCTTTTACAATTCCTCTCCTCAGAAGAGAAATGTCCCCCGTTGTGTGTAGAAGACGAATGTGTTGGAGAGGGACTTCAGTGTGTGAGACAGTGGTGCCTTTTTGTTTGTCTCCCCTCTGGAGCCAAGCTTACCCTGGGAGCCCTGCAGGCCAGGGAACAAACAGAGCTTTGTGAGCACTGACCCACTGTGCCCAGCAGCCAGACTGCAAACCTCCACTCTTGTGCTAATAGGAAACCACAGATGAGGAGTCCGCAGCAGGGGGAGCTTTCTCACATCCACCTGTGCTTTCATCATTGCCCATCAAAACAAGCACAGCCAGGCAGGGTGCTGTGGTGCTCCGGTGACCACCGAATCAAAAGCCTTTTCTCCAACATCCCTTTGGCGCAAACACTTGAAAGAATACATTTGGGGGGCAAAAAAAAAAAAAACCTAAGTGGTGATTTATTTGGTGGCACGGGTTTGTGCTAATCAAGCCCGTGCACTGACTACAGCTGCCTATAAATATGTCAGCACTCTGTCATAAATTTGCCTGCAGTTGCCCAGGGGGCATTACAAGTGTGAATAAATGTGAGAAGTGAACCACTCTGGTAAACGTGTCCTACATTTGATTGCATGTTTTCCATTACGTCCGGACATGATTGAAATAAACAGTAGTGACAGTCCATTTTGCACCTTAACCAGAACACAGAAACCCTTTTAGGCAAGCTCATTATGTTTTTCTGCAAGAAAGCACAGCAATACATTTATGGATGTTGGCGTCACGGAAAAACCTGTTACCCGCAGTTTTGCACCAGCGGTAACAGCCCGGGCAGAGAATATTTTGTCTTTTCTTCTCCCTTGAATAGTCAGAAATAACATGAGAGGGTGAAAGCGGGGGCGGGGTGGGGGGGAGATGGGGGGGGACGACGCAGAGGGAAGGAAGTTTGGTACAAGGCTTAAATGCTTTTTAATCCCATGCTTGAGTGACCACTTGCAGCTCTGCCCAGTCGTCTGACTCTGGCTGCCATTTGCAGGTCTCTCTGAAGTTTCTTTGCCATTGGCTAGATTGTCCGCTTCACTCTCTCTCTCTCACTCTCCCTCTCTCGCTCGCTCACTCATCCTGCTATTTAGTATGCAGGCTCCAAATGGCAATTAATTAAATGCCTGCTGGTATTGTATAAAGACCTCTGCCTTGTTTATTTATTTTCTTTATTTACTGCTAAGTCTATACAGCCCTACCTGCAATGCACTTTTATGCTTTTTTTTAATGTAATGAAACAGTGTAGCAATCCTCCGAGGTAACTCAATTAATCTGCACACCCTGCACACACAGGTTTCCTTTTCAGCGTATTGCACTCGGTTGCATGCTGTCCCTGTTCCACTCGCTAGAACCGCTGTAGTGTGGTGTGGGCCCTAAATTGGAATATGCACCATTCTTCTCCTTGAGACACACTGTATAAGTGACAGTGGTGGAGGAATTCAACCTGCAGAGGATGTCAAGAGTTCCTCGCAAGATGTGGGCAGTAATCTCTGCGACACAGCAGGTGGAGGAGACTCTCTGAGAGGACACTGTATATAATCAACTGCACAAATTATCATACCTCACCTCATGTTATTTTCACACTTCCAGAAATAATGCAACAGCCAGGCACTAATAAAAGCGTGTTCCCATCAAATTATCACCTTTGCGAAAAAACTTCACTCCTCCCCGGCTCCGCACAACTGCTGATGGTGTGCATAAATTGAGCTATAGGATGCGATGACTCCGACTAGAATCGAATCAAAACTTCACATCTAAAATCAGCTCCTTCACAAAGCATCGTCAATAAGCTCGCCTCATGAAAGAGGAGCAGCAGGAAGTAAACTGACAAAGTTTATAAAAGAAAAAAAAAACACATTCTGTGTCTAAGCAGAGCATGGAACAATGAGGGAGCCTGAATGCTGAGATATGCCACCCCGGGGGCAGGCTCTATACTTAAGGCTTACAACAGCCTCATTATCTCCCTCAACTCACATCAGATCCTAACAGCAGTTTGTCACAGGCAGGCTCTTCGCTGCCAGTAGGCATCAGACCAATCCTTCTGCAACACTACTGTACATAATTGCCATATGGACAGCATTTTGAGCCAGACTGAAGACTAAAAAGCCCTGCAGGCAGATTCCCCAGATAACTAAATGAATATTTTATCTCATTTCCATCTAATTTGCAACACGTTATTATACAGAACTGAAATTTTTTAATTAATTGATAGAACATATCAAACACAGGTTCGGGCTTTGATTTTCCAGAGTTGTATTTTTCTCAATTTGCATGACTTTTTTCACACGCCAATTTTTCTTCTTTTTTTTTTTTTTTTTTAAACCTCCCAGAATGTAGGTGTGTCTTTATAGAAACGCTGTCACAAAACAAATTATTAAGTGTCACTGCACATTAAAATGCTTGTCATGGTCATGTAAACAGTTCCAGAGAGAAGTTCTTTTACCTGCCACCCGGCTGATTAATTAATTTTACGCTGTTTAATTAAATCCACAGTCTGGGGAGTCTGGAAGCCACTGTGGGGAGCCCCACCTGAACCCTGTGCACACACAGATTACTAACTGAGGACTCACACACCTGCTCTCACACTGAAGCTGACACCAACGTCACCCTCACTCTGGATACCACAGCCACATTGTGTCAGTGTCAGCCAGCAGTGGTGAGCGTTTACTGCGGGAGACGGGAAAGCTCGGGCGCCGTTTGTTTGTCACCTGACATTTACAGGTATCTGACTGCATTTGAAACTTAATAAAGTAATACAGTGATTCTCAACCATAGGACCGCGTCTCAAACTTGGGCCATCAGTGCCACCTAGAGGGCCGCAAATAAAATCAGTTTTGCGCCTGTGGGCCGCGTAGGTAATCAACTGGAGGCCACCAGAGATATGTTATCCGCAAGAAGTACGGTTCCAATGCAGCTTTTGTCCATGTGGTGGCAGTAACAAATCAGTTAGTTCTTTGACCAAGTGCCAATGTACAGAGAAGAAGACTGTTTTCTTTTCTAAGCCAGCTGTAGCATAAAGTATGGAGAAAAAATGAAAACGAACGTCATGTGGACCCCGCCCCCCTGGAATGTTTGACTAGGTACAATTTTAAACTGTAAGTACAAATCAAACCACGAGTGAGGTCAATTTAACCCATACAGTGCTAATATTTAATAGACCCCGGGCCACTTTGTACTATAATAATTGAGTGTCAAGGTCAAAAGGTTAAGATCCCCTGCACCAGTAGGTGGTGTTACCTGTTTGGACGTTAATACCTGCAACACAAAGCAAACAAGATGAGACCAAGACTGAAAAGGTCAAACAAGTCATTTTCAAATAATAATTGTCAGAGGTTTCTTGATTAGCGGGTTATCGTGTTCTGGTATTAGAACAGGGCTTAAAAGGAGCGTTCACCAAAGGCTACGTCTATGCCGCGATCCCTCATGACTCGATTCTTGGCGCTGTTTGCACTGCAAATGAGATGGTGTTATGTAGATAGACCTCGGATTAATATGAAGTCGGCTAACTGCGGGCACACAAATAAAAGGCTAACAGAATTACCATAATGCATTTGGCTTCAGAGGCGTAAACACACATCCTGCCCAACGTGTTTGTATCACACAGCCAGAGCCTCAGAGATACAGGGGGAGTTTCTCTCTCTCATGTCAGTACAGAGGAGGTGCACAAACTGCACAGCATGCAGTATGATTGTGGAGGCGGGGGAAACACACACACACACATTACACACGCACCGTCTCCAGATGAAACAGGTTCCCTACGTCTGTAATCACAAAAAAACAGGTTTATTGGGTCTCAGACATAATTTAACGACGAGACTAAAAACAAAACTGGATGATGATATTTAAATGTGTCAGATTTAACGGCTTTAATATGATGGGCTATAAAGTTTTAAAAGGGATACAACGACTTGTGCCTTTTATTCTTAAACTATAAACAAAGAAGACCGGCATCTAATTATAGCCGAACGTTTCGAAATGGAAACAAAATACACAATGGTTGAAGTATGTCATCAGTAATTGGTTAAAAAAAAAACAATGTTTAGAGGCTTTAAAAAAATTTAACTTTTAAAAAATCCACAAATTAGTTGCACATCCTAAAACAGCATTTAAAACTAAATAAAAACCTTAGTGTTTTTTATGTATTTTACTTTAACAGGAATAAAGACAAAGACATTCAGTCCAGTGTTCTAAGACAGATGTGATTATTTGATTTAAAGTCATGTCACGTTAAGACTCATCTCCAGGCGTCTTCAACCGCTGTGACTGTCAAGTGTTCAGCTTTATTTTGGTGATGTTTTAAAAGGTTAGCAACAGGTTTTCAACTTTAACTTCATCTCTTTCTTTTTTTCTTTTTCTTAATTTGAAATAACATTTGAAAGGAACTTCATTTCTGTCCTTAAACCAGACTAAGAAGCAGGTGGTGACAAAAAAACATCTACAAGAAGGAATTGCTCTGCTGCAGATATGTTTCAGGAAATGATTTAAGTTTCTATTAGATTTATTTGTCAGGGTCTCACTTTACCTATAACTTTATTTATTTGTTTATTAATAGAGTTAAGGGAATAAATATTTTTTGCAACAAAGAATGGCAACGTAATGTAATTTCATAATTTCACCCCTGGATGTCGTTAAAACCTACAGAGCACACCTTTAAATACAGTTCAAATATTTTCACTGCGTGTGTGTGTGTGTGTGTGTGTGTGTGTAAGCAGTGCTGTAAAACAACAGACAGTCACAAGATGAGAGTAAGCAGTGCGCAACACTTGAGCGGAAGTTTTATGATGTTTCAGTAAATATCGCCGACATATTTTTTATTGCACATCAGCCGCTTCTATTCAAATGAATTATTGAATCTTTACAAACAGTCGAGAGCCGTGCTCCACGCTCTGACAAGAGGAACTTTTAATAGGGCCTTCCAGTGCGTGGCATCCAGACAGTTTTGTCAACTGCAGCAGCATTAGCTGGAAGAACAGCCCTCTATTTGTGCTCGCCTTGTCCTGTGACAGGAAGACCTATCAGGTGCTCATCTCTCCCCTCCTCCTCCTCCTCCTCCCCCCGCTTCTCCTCCTACCCCTCGTCTCCTTCTGACCTCATTCTGTCATCTTCGTTTTTTCCATCTCTCTCTCTCTCTCTCTCAGGTCTTTTATAAAGTGTCTACACACATTACACATTTAACAATGCATTAAAAATAGGCCACTATCAATCAATCACTCCGTGGCAGAGACATAATCTACTCACGGCACCGGTTTGACACGTTTCTCCAGCGCGGAGAATGAAAGACACAATAAACCCCCGGATCAGAAACCTGAAAGAGATGGAAACAATGGTAATCCGCCGCATCCTGCAAAATCCCAACACTGTACTTCTGGATTCTCACTTGTTTAATTTCCTGTGGCACAGTATCCAAGAACAGATTTGGAAAATAATATGCAGGAGGAAGGCTACGACTAGATTTCTGCTGATGGGTGTCAAGTTAACATGGCACCCGAAACAATGGTTGGAAAAAGCGAGATGCATGATACAGGATCGGTACTAGGAGGAATCTGATGTAATGGTTGGGAGTGAGTCAAGCCCTGGGGGAGAATAGTCTGAACAGTCTTGACTTCAGGTTGCTCATGCCATGGCAGATGTTCAGCTGACGACAGCAGCACAAGAGACAGCACGACATGTTATTCAGAGGTTATTTTTATAGTATTAGGATGGCACCTTAAGATTGCAATGCCACAGGTACAGCTGCTCCGGTGTGATAGCAAAGCATACTATATATTTCATAATGGAACACTGAAGAACTCACAGTCCCACGTTGTTAGCACAGCGTGGTGTTCTGCTGGTCAGTGAGAGGTGTGGGAGTGTATTTGTGAGCTTTGATGTCGCTGCTCTGCTCAGAAGTTTGATCCTGCATCCTGGACTTGGAGACAGACTGCACTTCGTCATGGGTAAAAGCCGGAGGAGGTAGACACAGACTGCACAGGCAGACCTGAAGGACCGCACAGAGAGAGAGAGAGAGAGAGCAAGAAACAGAGAGGGAGACATGCACGTCAGGGACAAAACACATTTACTGTCAGTCTCAGAGGGAGAAAATGGCTTTATAGAAAATCTATTTATGTGTGAAGCACCCATGGAATAATGCAAGTGGAAGGCTGTCTCGCTGATGCTGTATTAACAGTAAGCCAGTGAATGAAGCCTCAATCAATTCAACAAACAGAGACGACTTTTTTCCCCTTCGTCCATGTAGGGCAGCGTTAAAAGCGTTCTTTGGCTTTGAGTCCTTCACAGAAAAAACTATTTCATTTTTCAAAGTATTAAATACATTCACAGCAGACTGAAGGGAAAATTAACAAACGCACACCGACCGTGCCGTGCCGAAGGGTGATGTTGAAAAATGAGAGTAAATGTTGAAAAGTTAAATTTACTATCTAAAATTAACAAAAACTTTTCGACTTTATTTCTGGTGTTTTTCTTTTTTTCTTTTTCTTCCTCATTTGCTCCAGTTTCTGTCCGTTTCACAGACACCACTACACACAGTACATCAGTGATGACACAAGCAGTAGTTTTGTGAGTGAGGATAAAATGGTTACACTATAGGGATGTGGGCCCAATACTTCATTCAAATACTCAAACTGGTACTCGAAACTGGAAAAAGTGTGTGAATCCAGTGACCCGATACACCGTGACGGTTTCTCACTTCAGCTGCACACAGGTCGGTCAGTGATGTGTGTTTCCCTGCTGCAGTTCAGGGTCTCATTGTCCTCATGGGTAGTTTATTTAAGTAGGTCAACAATGTCAGCAGTTTGGATGAATTTTAACACCAGGGATGGAAACAGGAGCTAGACTTACTGTAGGATTTGTTCCATTCTGATACAATCAACCCAATAGAACACAGGAAGTGCTGAATATGCTAATGCTAATCTTCTCTTGATGAAATCTTGATATAATTTGACACACTTCAAACCAGAGACAATGTTTTCAATTACTATGAGTTATTGGTCTAAAACATTGTTTCCCAAAGACTGGGTCGCGACCCTCAGGTGGGTCGCAAGAGATTTTTTTGGGGGGTCGTCTTGCATCTTGTTTCCCAGGAGATTAGGAATAATGTCAATTGACTTGTGCACAAATGGAAATCCTCGTACGTCTGTCGATGTGTTAGAATGGCACTTGGACAATCCTTGTTTCCACTCAAACTATCTTTTGGTGAGTCATGTGAATGGTGTAATTCATAGAGGGCAGAAGCGATCTTACCTTAAAGCCTCTCTGGAAACGTTTGCTGACTATGCACAAAACAATGGGGTTGATGCAGGAGTTAAGAGACGCCATATTGATGCCAAAATAGTCCAGGACAAGAAACACACTGTAAGAAATAATATATATAAAATAGATATGACGTAATTTATCAAACATGCTTTAGAGCAGTGAACAAATAAACAGTGCTTACCTCAGGAGTTGACAACGGTTAGGATCCTTTTCATCATATATGGTTAGCTTCAAGATTCTGCTGAGATACAGTGGGAACCAGCAGAGCGCAAACACAGTCACTAGGCAGAAAACTGTTTTAGCAACTTCAAGTCTCTAAAGTAAGAAACACACATAGACAAAAATGATTAAAATACGGTGTGACACTCCAAGTGGAACAGATGTCAAACAAGACTTCTGTTCACAACCTGCTTGGTCTGGACGCTCAAAACATTCTTCGTCTTTCTCAGCATTTTCCTGGTCATGAGCGTGTAGAAGACAGCGGTCCAAGTCAGTGGCATGCAAAAGTAAAATCCAAAGAGCCACCAGTCTTTTACTGATTTATAAATCTGTGGATGAAACATGACAGACAGGAGTCCACAGATGGTGCAGTGACAGGAGGATCAGTGGCTGCTATATTAACGCATGCACAAAAAAAATAAAATAAATATTTGACTCAAGCTCCGGTCTCAGTTCTTTTCAGCAGATATAAATAAACCTGGAAGTTCTATATGGAAGTACAATGGAACAGAACCTGTTTCATCCTGTTGCACGCCGGAGACAATTACATACCTGCATGAACTTTGAGGTTTGCATTGGATGAAGCAGACATATTCTCAGATGCTTGTCTTTATAGTTCGTCATTAACATGTCAAAGCCAACCAACTCAGGCACAGCCAGCAGGAGAGAAACAACCCATATCATTGTTATTTCTGCTGCTGTCCAAACTGAAACTCCACCGCCTTTCATCCCATACCAGGACACCACGGCGCGGTATCTGCAAAATCAATGGCAAATTTTGATGGGTTTTTTTTTTTTTTTTCATATCTGTAACGATGAGACATTTTAAGTGCTTAGGCTCAACAATTCTGTGACACGGTGATGAAATAGAGATTGGAGTCTGCAAATACTATTTTCTGTTTTCAGGGCACAGGACGACGGTGCTTATCTCCTTACCTGTCAACACTCAGAGCACACAGACTCAACACAGTAATTCCAACAGAGGTTTTCTGTATGAAGGGCACAAGTTTGCACAGCACAAAACCAAATGGCCAATCTTCTGCTATGAGCTGCAAAAACAAACAAACATAAAAAAAAAACAGGGACATTATCACAAACAAAGACGAGAGCAAACAATATTTGAAAAATAGCAATAACAGAGAAAGTGCAACATTGTTTCGTGAAGAACTCACCCTGTATGCATTGATTGGGATGTCTACGATAATATGGATCAGGTCACCCAATGCAAGACTTGCAATGAGTATATTAGGTCCACTTCTGATGCTTTTGTTCCCATGTATGATTTTCAATAGGGCTCCATTTCCCACTACTCCGACTATAAACACAAGCAGAGAAACCACTGTATTGACGTATTTGAAAGTGTCTCTGATTCCAGCCGACTCTGAGCACATAGGAGGCTGTGTTGTTTTCACTCCCGCTCCTTGTGGTGGATGAATTGAGCTGTTGGATCTCTGGTTTTCCAGTATCAAAGTACCAGGGGAGGCCGTTTCAGAGAGTTTAGTTACG